GATGCTTGCTCCTTGGAAGAAAAGCTATGGCCAACCTAGACAGCATATTAAAAAGCAGTGACATTACTTTGCCAAAAAAGGTCCATCTATTCAAAGTTATGGTTTTTCCAGTAGTCATGTATGGATGTGAGAGTTGGACTATAAAGAAAGGTGAGCACTGGAAAATTGATGCTTTTGAATTGTGGTGTTGGAGAAGACTCTTGAGAGTCCCTTGGACTATAAGGAGATCCAACCAGTCCATCCAAAGGGAAATCAGTCCCGAATATTCATTGGAAGGACTGATGCCGAAGCTGAAACTCCAATACTTTGGCCACTTGATGCGAAGAGCTGACTCATTTGAAAAGCCCCTGATGCTGGGAAAGATTGAAGGCAGGAGGAGAAGCAGACGACAGAGGATGAAATGGTTGGATGGCATCACCAACTTGATGGACATGAGTTTCAATAAGCTTCGGGGGTTGGTGATGGACAGTTAAGCCTGGCATGTTGAAGTCCATGGGGCTGCAATGAATCGGACATGACTGAGTGACTGAACTGAACTGAAAGGTCATCTTGACCAAGGTGAGTCTTGAAGTAAGAGTTAACAAAGGGAAATAGGAAAGAACTTTTCTGAAAGGCAGAACAGTCTGAGAAAGGCATGAAAGTGTGAAACCTTTTATGTGTGCACAATATTTCTAGAGCATAAAAAAGGGCAAGTACAACCCAGACAATAGAGACAAGTATGGTCTACATCCTTGAGAGTTGTGCTAACCTTATAGAGGTTAGGGTGCTTAGAGTACATTGCATTCAGTCTGGAAGCCTGTGATGAGGACTGATTGCTCTGACAGCTGTATGGAGGGGATAATAAGAGTAGGACACCCAGGGATAATTGCAATGATATAGGACAGACATGTAAAAGGACCTGAACAAGAGAAGCAGTGTTAGGAATGGGAAAGGATAGTTTGATTTGAGAAATATTTTGGATGCTGTATTTATATGTGGGGGTTGAGCTTAAGTAATAAATGCTCTACTTCAGAAACAAAAAAGTGAATAAAACTGCTCTATCCTGCCCAATAATATTGTCGTCCTTAGGTTCAGTGTCTAGTATGGAAAAATTAAGATATATCTACAGACACTATAATGTGAAGTAGGAGATGCTAAATGTTGAAAGAGAGGCACAGATTCCTAGCTATAGGAATCAGAGGGAAGAGACAAAGTTTCTACCTAGGTGATTGAAGGAAGACTTCCTGGAAGAAGTGGCATTCAAGATAGGCTTTGAAAATGGATAAGATTTTGCCACAAGTTGATAAAAGGAAAGGGCATTTCTAGTTGAAGGAGCATCCTGAGCAGTGACTCGGGTGGGAGAGGGTCTAGGCTAAGAACACAGGCTCTGGAGTCACACAGGCTTGGGCTCAAACTTCAGTTCTGTCACATTTTAATCAAATAATTAAGGGCAATCTACTGTGCTTCTTTGAGCCTCTGCTCCTTGTTTGTAAAATAGTTTATTTCTTTACCTTCTGGACTTGTGAGATTTAATGAGATAACATATTTAGTTGGACTCAATACAAGTGATCAATACAGTTAGCTGTTATCCGATTAGTAAGACAAAGTAACAGGGAGTGAGGCTTGAGGTAGGATTTGCCCATGTAAAGGAAATGCATATGGTGCAGAACAAAATGGAGAGAGTGAAGGTAGGGCAGAGAGTCTGGGAGGGATTGTGGAAGGTCTTGAGTGATAGATTTAGGGCATTTGAGCTTTTCTGAGATGCAATGTTTTTGCTGTTGCTCAGTCTCTAAGTTGTGTCCGATTATTTTCAACCCCATGGATTGCAGCACAACAGACTTCCCTGTCCTTCACTATCTCCCAGAGTTTGCTCAGATTCATGTCCATTGAGTGGGTGATGCTGTCTAACCATCTCATCCTCTGGGGCCCCCTTCTCCTTTTGTCTTCAATCTTTCCCAGAATTAGAATCTTTTCAATTGTGTTTGCTCTTCACATCACGTGGCCAGAGTACTGGAGTATCAGCATCAGTCCTTCCAATGAATATTCAGGGTTGATTTCCTTCAGGATTGACTGGTTTGATCTCCTTGCGGTCCAGGGGACTCTCAAGAGTCTTCTCCAACCACAGTTCTGGATTTAGGCAATAGGGAGCCACAGAAAATGTATGAATAGGGTGAGGAGTTGAGCTGTGTTAACTGAGATTAACCAGTAGCTATACTGAAGATGGTTTGGAGAAACAAGAAACTGAACGCATGAAGATTGTTTATGAAATGATTACAAGAGTTCAAAAGAGAGGTAATGAAAGCCTGAATTTGTATAGTAAGAATGAATAAATGATCTTGAACATGAGAGAAGTTGCTAAGGGGAAATCAGGAGAACTCTCAAAGCTACACAAGTTTCCAATTGTTGTTCCTGAAATGAGCACCCATAAGTATTAATATAATAACAAATACTAAGAAGATGCTGATGCTGAAGCTCCAATACTTTGGCCACCTGATGCAAAGAGCCAACTCATTGGAAGAGACCCTTATCCTAGGAAAGACTGAAGGCGAAAGGAGAAGGGGTGGCAGAGGATGAGATGGTTAGATAGCATCACCAACGCGAGGGATTTTTTGAGCAAACTCCAAGAGATAGTGAAGGACCGCTGCCTGGTATGCTGCAGTCCATGGGGTCAAAAGAGTCAGGCACAGCTTAACAACTGAACAACAACAAATTAAGACAATAAGAGGAGAAGTAGGCCAGGAGTTATAGGAGTCAGAAAATAAAGCAAAATGGTGGCTTCAGTTCCAGAGATTGTATATGACACCAATATCTATTCTATTCTCTGTTGTGCAGTTAGAGACTTCATTTCCCATCCTACCTTGCAACTGGGTATTGCCATGTGATTAAGTTTTGACTGATGAGTTCTGAGCAGAGTGAAGTGTATCTCTTCCAGATCATTCCCTTTTAAAAGTATGCTTGTCTTCCATTCTTTAGTCCCTGTTCCCGAAGGTCTGTATAGAAACACAGCAGCAAGGAGCCAGCTTCCACCATGCAGGCGAGGGCACCACCAAAACATTACGTTGAAACAACACAAGGCCCTGCCAGAACTGCTCCTCTCCTCTCAGACCTCTACCAGCTCAGATTTGCACATAAGTGAGAAATAAACCTTCCACATTGTTTAGACCACTGTTACAGTTTCTGTTAAAACAACTGAGACCATCCCCTAACTGTGGACAGATGATGAGCTTGAGCTAGAGGAGAAGGTGGGTGGAGACGGTCAGAAGAGAGTTGAGACTGGGGCACGGTAGCCATAGAGATAGGGCTAGGGGTGAATACTGATGCAGGAGTCCTGTGAATAATGTTCATAACTGAAGCCATCTAGGGAAGAGGATTGCTAAGGGGAACATTGGAGAGAAAGAGAAGTGAGGACCACAGAAGGCCCGAAGAGTACAACTACTGGGGTGGGGAAAGGGAGGAAAGGAACAGAGATTGAGACTGAAATGAGACAGATTTGGAATGGTGATGAGTTCAGAAGGAAGAAGAGAAAGCAAAAGAGAATAATGAATGGCAAGGCAATTGGAAGAGATTTTCTTTTTTTTTTCTTCCCATAGTAAAAGGGCTAACCATGTCAAATTCTGCAGAGAGGTCGAGAAGGGTAAGAACTGAACACATTTGGAGAGGGAGGGATTAGAGCATACTCAGAATAGGAAATGACTGAGAAGAAGTCAAATCATGTTCAAAATAATGTGTTTAAGAAGGCAGGGAATTTCATAATAAAATTTAAAGAGTTCAATGTAAAATTAATTTTTGATAAGTGTAGGGCAAATAATATATGTAGGAACTTCCCCCTCTGGGAAGTAGAACTTAATCTTCCCCACCTCTCAGTCTGGGCTGGATTTAGTGTCTGGTTTCCAAAGAATAGAATGCAGAAAGGGGGAAAAATAGTAACTTTAGGATGGAGAAACTAGACAAATACCATCCTCCTTACCCAAGCGATCAAGGTCAGCGATGCTAGTATAAGTCACACGGATATAATGTACCCCCTGTATGATGTGATGAAAAGGGCAATTCTACTCTGTGGTGGTCTTTCCCAAAACCCAGACCCCAGCCAAAATGTGAGGAAAACATCAGAGCAACTCAAATTGAGAGACATTCTACAAAATACCTGACCAGTGCCCTTCAAAACTGTCAAGGTCATGAAATATCATCACAGAACAGCAATGCAGGAGATGTGATGACTCAATGCAATGTGGGATCCTGCTTAGCCATCTTGGAACAGAAAAAAAGGACATTAAAGAAAAAACTGGTGAAATCCTAATAAAGTCTGGAGTTTAATTAACAGTACTATACTGTGTTAATTTCTTTGTTTTGACAAATAGGCCACAGTTACATAAGATGGTAAAATACGGGGAAACTGAATGATATATAATACTCTCTTTACTTTGTAAATTCCTGTAAATCTAAAATTATTCCAATATAAAAAGCCTTTTTAAAAAACAAAAATTGGAAGGCAAGAGCAGAATTTGGGGATGGTTCTTGCAAGGCCTAGGCAAGTTTGAAATATAGAGCATCTGGTCCCCCACTGCCTTACCCTTACCCCTCCCTCCCCCCACTAAATTTTTTTTCCATTAGTCCATTATTAGAGTACAATGGAGTGTTCAATTTCACACTGTGTGTGGCATTCCATGCCAACTAGAATAGTTAATGCAACTTTACATTTATGACTCTGCTTGGGTGTGAATTATTGTGTTTATGAAAATCTCCATATTAATGTCTGATTGTAAATCATTCTGCTGACTCCCTTTATTAATAGCTCAATTCCCACGACTCGCTGCTGCAAGCCATTCAGATTACTGCAACTGTACAGGAAAGGGGCTGCTTCCCATTTGTTTACCATTTAATTCTAACCGCCTTGGGCTTTGCTCTAAAGCCACCATCCTCTAAACTGCCCAAGCCAGGTACTTTGTGTTTCTTTGTTGGTGAGGAACTTCCCTGAGGAGTAGCATTTATGACTCTCTGTCCACACATTTCCTGCTTTGTAGAAATACCTGCAAGAAAGTGATTCTGGCATGGATTCTGGAGTTGGCTCCAGCCCTGACTCTGTCCCATACTGGCCACATGATCTTGGTAAGTCATTTGGTCTCCCTCTGGGTTTCAATTTCTTCATCTAAAGTGGAAATCATAACACGTATTTTCTCAAGATAGTATGACAGTTAAACAAGATGGTGTTCGTATAGGCAGTATGACTCCTGGCGCATAGGAAACCCTCAGTGGTCTTTTTGTGGTGGTAACTTACTAACAATAATGATAACATTAATAGTGGATGTAGATGAAAGAATTTTGGGCTGGGGTATGGTTTCAGTTTCTCTACAAATGAGAGTGCTGATCTTGGAAAAGTCACTTCCTATTTCTTAAGTATCTCTTCCAGGGCTATTTTCTATACCCTATGCAGAGACCAAGTAGTCACCCCTAAAATGTGTATCCATTTTTATTCCTTTTTCCATCCTCTCCAGCCCAGCCCCTTCTCCTTGGGTCAGAGAGTGCCTTAACTGGAGCTCACAGAATATTCAGAAAGGGGCCAGTCTTGGCTTGGCTTTTTCACGCTTCCGCACATGACAGCTCGAATCAGACCCCCTGCCCCAGCCCCCTTACTGGCAGGAGGGGAAATATGAAATCTCAGCAGGCGAGGAGGTTTTCTATGCTTCTGTAAATCATTAAAGTGGCCAATATTTTCCTTTGCTGCACCTCTCTCACCTCACAATATTTTTTTTTTCCCTGCAGTGAAATCCATTCCCCCAGCCTGGAAATGTGGGCACTTTATAGAAAATCTTTAGCTTGTACCTGCACAAATGGATGGGTCTTATTTCCTGTCTGCAGTTCATGGTGTTGCAAAGGCATTGCCAAAAACTATTGACTGAGACATAAAAGCAAAAAATGGATGAACATGAACGTGGCCTCGTTCACATGTACATTTACAAACAAACAGACACAAACATGATCGTGTCTACACTTACAGGAAGAGACTCCGCAAAGGGACCTCCTAATTCATAGCCTTACTTCCCGCCCCAACCCGTGCCTGGAGGGTGGAAGAGGAGGAGAGGAAGAGAGGAGTTTAGACCAGTGGATGGGATCTGAGGGATTGGGAAAGATCCCCAGTAGGCCTCTGTGATCTCTGTGTCGTGATGCTGGCAACAACACTCTTAAAGATCCATCCATGATGTCATTTGAAAAATAGAAAGAAGACTTCCCTGGTGGTCTGGTGGTTAAGAATCTGCTTGCCAATGCACGGGACACAGGTTCAATTTCTGGTCCGAGAAGATCACATACGCCACAGGGCAAGTAAGCCCATGCACCACAATGACTGAACACACACTCCCTACAACCCTTGCTCTGCAACAAGCAAGAGAAGCCACGGCAATGAGAAGCCCATGGACCGCAGCTAGAGAGTAGCCCCCATTAACCATAACTAGAGAAAGCCTGCACACAGCAACGAAGACCCAGCACGGCCAAAGGTAAATAAATAAATAGAATTTAAAAAAATAGAAAATTATATTCTGAATCTTTCCGGGCTACCATGTTTCTAATATGATACCTCCGAAGGCTATCAATTGTACTTTTCTTCATTTTACAGATGATGAAAGTGAACTCCAGAGGGATGAGGTGATTCATTCAGTATCCCCCTGCCAGGAAGTGGGGCAGCTGAGACTCGAGCACAATTGCTTGAATTCAATTCCAACATGTTTTCTGTTCTAGCACATTCTATTCTAGCTCAGGATTCTGAAATAGAGGGGTAATCAACCTCAGGATCTTGGCTTCTTTCTGATCAGAAGGTTCCTAGTACACGGGAGAAGAGGCAATGGGGCCTGAGAAGCAGAGAGGAGTCACATATACATCGGTGGAACACACATCGTGCTCACGGTGTATCTCCATCTGCAGAGCCCAGGGAATCCTCGGGCGTGGGTGCCCAGCACTCTGCAGTCTGCCGGTACGACTCCTGGGTACACGATGTGTGGCCCATTTCCTTAGCTTTGCAACGGGGGTGAAAAGCCTGGTTTCACAAATGTACCTGAGGACTGCTGAGGCATGTCCACATTTGAGTAAAATACACAGATATTTTTTAGTGATTAGAATGCAGCCAAGGGCAGAAATTTCAAACACACCTGAAGTCTTTTTTACTCATTAAATTTTCTTATTAAAGAATCATTGAGGTACATGATTTCTATACATACTGGCTGTTCTACACTTACAAAGCCAACCAGCCTACTCAGGTACCTGGCTACCTGTGTTCACGTGATACAGTCGGGAACAGGCGGTAAATAAAAGATCTTACTGAAAACCGGGGGGGGGATAAAAGAGAGAAGCATTTAATTACTACATCCTTCCTTCCTTCCTTCCTTCCTTCCTTCCTTCCTTCCTTCCTTCCTTCCTTCTTTCTTCCTCCTTCCCTCCTTTCACCCATTTTTTCTTCCTCCCTTCCAACACCACTTCCTTGCCTCTCTTTTCACTATTTGATAGCTTCGACCCCAAGTAACCTGAATTAATTCATTCGAGGAGCCTGAATTGTCCAATTGTTCCTTGACCCTCATCCACCTCCCCTTCCTCCAGAGCAAGTACCACGGGTGATATCTTCTGTGGGACCATAGGCATCTGCTCGCTGTGCTTAGCCTGCTGTCAGGGAGGCCTTCTGCCCGAGTTCAGCAGGACCAACAGTGGCTCCCTGGCTTTGCTCTCACCAGAACTGTGACCTGTCCAGAAAAGGAGCTGTGAGCAGGGTGAGGAAGGCCCCTGGAGAGAGAGGCAGGGCTCTGAGTCAGCACTCTGATGGGGTGACAAGATTCCCTTTGCGGAGAGGAAGGGGCGGCTCAGCCCCCAGCTCTCTGACATCCCCTGATCCGGCCTGGATGCCACCTCGGCCCTGTGCCCTGCAGGGCATCCCTGGTTTAAATGATGCTGACGCTCTCCTGAGAGCATCCCCACCACAAGTCCCATCCTGCTCTCAGAACTTCTCCTGCTCCATTGCCTCCCCTTCCCTGGGCTGCATGGACTCTCCGGAGGTTAGGGGAGAGAGGCTGTTTTCTTTTTGTTCCTTCTTAGATGTTCTGTTTGTTGAGCGAATTGTTTTCTTCCTGGCTCCGAGCTGGCGGCTGACATGGGCTCACCCGCGCTAATTAGCTAAGCCAGCTGGTGCGTTGGGAGGGTTTTTTTCTGGGCTCCTCTGTGTGTGTTGCTTTTTTTAAACATGATCAATACCCTCTCCGGCTGGGCTCCCTCACACACTCCCTATTGTTCTCCTGTTTGTATTGTACCGGAGTCCTGGTCAAGGACTCAGGGAGCCTCAGAAGACAGGCTTTTCCCGAGGCTGGCGTGCAGCTTGGAGCTGGGGAGATCGCTGGGCAGATGGGGCTCGGCCTTCCCTGGAGCCTGCGTCCGAGGCTTGGAGCCAGGTCATAGCAGGAGACAGTGCCCTGGGGGGCCTGAGGGGACCCAGACAGTGGGGTAAAGAGGAGAGACTGCTGTGTGGCTCAAGGCAGATGCCTTTCCCTCTCTGGGCCTCTGCGTCTTTGTTTGTAAAAGGAGGGGTCAGTTGCTAGTTCTGGTGTGAGTACCCTAGCCCTCTGATCTGGTCTCAAAGGAGCATCCTGAGAGTCAGACTCTCTTAGCAGAAGGGGTACAGGGAAAATGCATTCACAAATAGGATGTCACCCACTCTTGCTTTAGTACTGAAGATGGACAATGCATACCTTCCCCAAGTGGCTCCCACAGAAGCCACACCCAGACAGGGTAGGCGTCCTGCCTGACACCTGACGTGGTCCTACCCTCCTCTCAGCCCACTGCGATGCATCTGCTTATTTCACACAAGAAAAACAAGAAGTTTCTCTGATGCCCTCTCTTCTCTCATTGGTACCCAGCTATAGTCACTGGGGATGCCCCCAGGTGCAGATTGAGAAAACATCTTCAATGTATTTTTGTGTTTTATATATATGCATGTGAGCTCAGTCACTTTAGTTGTGTCCAACTCTTTGCGACCCTATGGACTGTAGCCTGCCAGGCTCCTCTGTCCATGGGATTCTCCAGGCAAGAATACTAGAGTGAGTAGCCATTCCCTCCTCCAGGGGATCTTCCAAACCCAGGGATTGAACCCAGGTCTCCCATACTGCAGGCAGATTCTTTACTGCTAAGCCACCAGGGAAGCCCTTATAAACAGATGCTAGTTCAAATTCGGTTCCATTGACAGCTCATTCTAGGGTTTAGATTTTTATTGCGGCCTCCTTCAGATTAACAGCATCTTCTGAAAATCTCTGATGGACGTGGTACTATAGAGATTTTCTCTTTCCTGTCCAAGCAAATGGAAACTATTTTCCTCTCAAAATGAAACTACTTTCTCAATAAAAATGAGATATTTAGTGATAGGAATAATATCTCATTTTTATTGAGAAAGTAGTGTGTGTCAGATATAGTGCTAAGCACATAATGTAAGCTATTTTGTTCATTCACATGGTGTACTTAGGTCATCCCCGTTTTACAAAAGCTCAGAGAGGTTAAGGAACTTGTCCAAGGTCACACAGGTAGTCCGTGGGGGAATCCAGAAACAGGCTGACTCTGAGCCCGTTGATCTTTCTGACCTTGGAGCCTCTCCTCTCCTGGATCTGCTCCTGGACGCTCTGTTTCAACATCAAGAGCCTTGACTGCTAAGACAGGCATCACATCTGATGACAGCATGAAAGGGTGAAGAGGACACTGACCTCAATGCCAAGTCCAGGTTCCAGCCTTTACGCTAGAGTCCAGTAGCAAAAAAAGAAAAAACCAACCACAAGGAACTCTCCAAGCCTTTATATCCCTACTTCATGAAATTAGCATAAAGATTAAATAAGATGATGTTCATGGAAATGCTTCGGAAAATGTAAAGCACTCTAGGAATATTGAGCATGGTCTTTTGTTCTGACGCTGTCTAAGACCAAGAGCTGTGTTAACTCCGTGAGTGGAAAAAGTCCCCCTGTCCTTAGTAATGCCTGCATTTTCCTACCCGCAGGCCAGCCGCTGTGGAGGTGTGAGCCTTAAGTCCTCCCTGGCTCTGGTCTCTGCAGTAATCTCCATTCCTTTACCCCTGAGGCTCCCTCTGGACCAGAGGAGGCTGGAATGGCTGAGTCAGCTGCATTCCCCCTGCCTCGTCTCAGGGCTCCCTTAAACCTGTTACTGAAATTGGCTCCATGGTACGGCACGTTTGCTTGCCATCCAGCAAGTCCCCTGGGGGGGCCCCATTAATCACATTTGCTCTCTCTCCTCAGTCTGGCTGGCTCGGAGGATAGCAGGTAGGTGCGTGGAGCCTCCGTGTGTTGGTGAGTGTGTGAGAGTGTGTCTGTCCCCTGGGAGCAGCCAGGGACTAAGTTCTCCTGCAATAAAAGTGAGTTAGTTGCTGCCTTTCCATAACCGTAATCCATCCCACTTCTTCCAAGGAGGTGACAGGCCCCGGGGTGATGCATCTCCATGACGGGGAGAAATTGGCTATTTTTGTCCTCCTCTAACAGGAGCAAGCTCTTTGAGCTGTCCTGCAGCAGTCTGCCAGGCCCCTCTGCTGTCGAGAACACCCTCTTCTAGTTCGTTCTGTGGTTCTGGGGCTCCCACATAGTCATCCCGGTGGGCTTTGGAGCCCAAGGGACACCCCGCTCTGCTCTGTGGGGAAGGCTGCCCTCTCTCAGAGGTGGGATACACCCGATCCTTTCAGATGCTCCCACCCATCCAGGTTCCTCCTGGCAGGGGAGTTGAGAACATCCTCACCCCCCAGGGGGTCTGGGGGCAGAGCCCGAAGCAGCCCGCCACCAGAGTGACGTTTCTTTGAAGTCTTATGCTTTATCTCAGGAATTCATGTGAATTTTGCTTTCCATGCCACAGTACATATCTGTTTGTTCTAATATAAAAATCTTTAACCCCGTATCTTCAAGCAAAACTGATGCCCTGGGAAGATCCATTTGTTTATTCTGTGCCTTTATATCGCCTCGTTTGCCACCGCATACCCCCAGGGGTACAAGCGCTCTGGTTAGAGCAGCGTCTGCAGTAGTAACAACAGAAAGCATGTGTGTTCACAGCTTCCCCTCCTCTGTCTTCTTTAAAAGATGCTGTCTGTCTGCTAAGCTCTCTCATCTGAGGCACTGGACACCAGGATACCAGGGAGAAGCAAAGAACTTGGGAAGCAGCAAAGGCTAAACTGATCCACCATGTCTGGCTGATCTCAGTTGTTTGTTGAATGAATATTCTCCTTTCCTGCCTTAGCTCAACCTCACCATGGATGTGGACCATTTTTTGAAATTCTTCACTGAGTTTGTTACAATACTGCTTCTGTTTTATGTTTTGGCTTTTTTGGCCATGAGGCACGAGGGATCTTAGATCC